TGCTCCTGAACAACAAACAGCGTCAGAAGCGTCTTACCTGGGCTAAAGAAAAACAGACCTGGTCTGTTGCTCAGTGCTCCAAAGTCCTCTTTTCTGATGAGAGCAACTTTTACATCTCATTTGGAAACCAAGGACACAGAGTCTGGAGGAAGAATGGAGAGGCACACACTGCAAGATGCTTGAAGTCCAGTGCGAAGTTTCCACAGTCTGTGTTGATTTGGGGAGCCATGTCATATGCTGGTGTTGGTCCACGGTGCTTCATTATGTCCAGGGTCAACGCAGCCATCTACCAGGAGATTTTGGAGCACTTCATGCTTCCTTCCGCAGGCGAGCTTTATGGGGTTGCTGACTTCATTTTCCACTTGGCACCTGCCCACACTGCCAAAAGCACCAAAGCCTGGTTCAATGACCATGGGATTGCTGTGTTGATTGGCCAGCAAACTCGCCTGACCTGAACCCCATAGAGAATCTATGGGGCATTGCCAAGAGAACGATGAGAGACATGAGACCGAACAATGCAGAAGAGCTGAAGGCCACTATTGAGGCATGCTGGTCTTCCATAACACCTTAGCAGTGCCACAGGCTGATAGCTTCCATGCCACGCCGCATTGAGGCAGTAAGTGCTGCAAAAGGGGCTCAAACCAAGTACTGAGTCCATATGCATGCTTATACTTTTCAGAGGTCCGATATTGTTCTATGTACACTCCTTGTTTTATTGATTGCATGTAATATTCTAATTTACTGAGATTGTGGATTTGGGGTTTTCATGAGCTGTAAGCCATAATTATTACACAGATCACGGCTTGAACTATCTTGCTTTGCTTGTAATGCGTCTATCTCATATATTAGTTTCTCCTTTTACGTTGCATTACTGAAATAAATGAACTTTTGCACGATATTCTAATTTTTCGAGTATAACCTGTGTATGGTGTTTGTACTCTGTTGGATTTCCACTAGTAAAGATATTTCATGTCTTCATTGGTATCTATCCTAGATATAAGATATGGCCTTGGACTAATGCAAGTATTTAGAAAATTGGGCAGAATAGATGGGCTGAATGGTTATCTACCATCCCATTCTATGTTTCTATGTTTTTAAGAGAATAGGGACATGAGCTTAAAATGGGATATTTTCAAAACAACAGCACATGGAGAGACAAAATAGTATAAGAACAGCCAGGTGCAAACCATATAAACACTCCCTCAAGTGCTTTAAATATTCAAATGTATATAGAATATAGAATGCACACTATAACAATCTCAAAAAAACCTTTGCTTTATTATGTACAAAAAAGTACCAGAGTGAAAACATATAAAAAAAGATAAACAAAGAGACAGAAGCAAGGGCAAACACAATAAAACAATAGTAAATTACCACAAAAATTCTTACAAGCCTCCAGACAGAAACACGAGTCACCAAACCCCCCAACGTTTCGGCACCAACTGGCTGCCTTTATCAAGGGTACCTGTATCCATGTTCAAATGTGTCTGCTTATAAAGCCCTCTTACAGCTGATGGCCATCAGCACAAAATTGTTACCAGCTCAGGAAGTGACATCATCACCTCAAGTCCTGGCACAATATTTTAATAGTAACATTTTAATATCAAATCAAAACTGATTGGGTGCACTGAAAACATATATGGAGTAAAAAGAGTCATAGGACCTAAAATAATAATAACAGATGTTAATATTCTAATAACCAACCTCTATAGACAATAAGTGTACTCCCACTTTATCCGGTGTCCATAACCGCCATCTTACCTATTGGCAGAACACACACAAACACCTGTATAAATATGCTCCACAGGTATCACAGCCACTGCTGCGCGCAACGATAGTCCGTTCATGCGTTCTGTAATGAGTGCAGCGCATAGTAACATCCTGCTCGCGCATGCGCATAACGGCAAACTGCTGCGCATGCGCATAGCAACATCCTATTTGCGCAGGCATACTATGTGTGCCGTGCATGCGCGTAGTAACATCCCGCTCGCGCAAGCGCATAACGGCAAACTGCCGCGCATGCGCATAGCAACATCCCATATGTGCAGTCATACTATAATGAGTGCCGCGCGTGCGCGTAGTAACATCCCGCTCGCGCATGCGCATAACGGCAAACTGCCGCGCATGCACATAGCAACACCATACCTGCGCAGGCGCAATACTAAAACAAACTGAAGTACCCCATTGTTCTAAAAAACCACCCACACGCAGTGGACGGCAACTAACAATCAAAATAATGCAATGAGCATTAATAATCTATATTAATTATACTCCATAAGTATCAATACCCCACATACAAATACACTAAGCATATATTACATATGTACATGCAAAAGAGGACTAATAAGAATAAATAGTCATAAATCCACCTTATAAATAGAAAATAATCGGTGAGCCTATACATGAGATATCTACCACCAATATTATAAAGCAAAACACAGGAAAAAAAGACACCAAAAAGTGATGTGCAGAAAAGTATTTTAATTCGACAAACACCCAATGTGTGATAGATAGATTACTACAGATGCCAAACCGGCAATGATAATACATAGCAGTTCTCCACGTAATACTGACTTAGCTGTGTAATAACTGTCCAAAAAATTAATTCAATACATTAACATATTTACACAACCAAATAAAAATTCGAAAAATCATTCATATTGTACACAATATAATACAATGTAACCCACACATTAAAAGGCTATTCATCATCAATTTAAAGATACAACAACATATTCAGAAATTGCATCACAAGCATGTATCATTCTATAAATATATCAATATTATTAAAGAATTCACTATAAATATATACCATATTAGAATAATCGTTGTCACATCAACTTCATCAATCTGTACACTATACATACCCATGTCAACCACATAGGGTTCACATAGATAAATAACATCATACCACCCACAGGAAAACACTACTCATGGCGAAAAGCTCTCGTAGTCGTGGGTATCATCACTCAATATTATCCATATATTAAGTACATAACTGATCCTAGAATGTATATAAACACAATCCACTACAGTATAAAATACAAAATTATATATACACATGATGGGTCATCATAACCATAACATGAAGCCATTCAACATATATGATGATATATTCTAATTGATTCAGTATTTTTCCGGCACTCTAATATCACAAACATCATGGTCCAAATGGCTACTGCAGCTTCAATCTATAAAAAGAAATAAAAACAAAACATAAAGATACAGACAAAACACAGGCAGAGTAAAACATCGTCAGGATTATAGAAATGGTGATAGATCCTTATCCTCATTCAGACCCTTAGGATACAAAGTCTGCAGCTCATAAATCCAGTATACCTCACGTTGTTTAAGCCTAACCACTTGCGAAATGCCTCCTGTACTGGGTTTAATCACCTCCAAAATCATGTACCGCAATTGGGAAACTGTATGTCTTTTCTCAGCGAAGTGCCTGGCCACCGGATATTGCATCTTTTTCGTCCGTATGCCACTCTTGTGTTCCCTAATCCTTATAGTGAGCGTACGCGTGGTTTCACCCACATACGCTAATCCACACGGGCATTTGAGCATATATACCACAAACTGCGACTGGCAATTACAAAATTCCCAAATCGGGTACCTCCTACCCGTCCTCGGGTGTGAAAAATGGTCTCCCGTAATCACCCCATTGCAGTTAATACAGTGCCCACAGCGGTACATACCCGGTGCCGCAGAAAGCCAGGTGTCAGCTGTATCCATCTTCCCCTGTAAATTGACATTCTTCATTAAATGGTCCCTTAGGCTCTTGTGTCGCTTGAATGAAAACAAAGGTCTCTCATTAAAACAGGGGAGAAGTTTAGGATCAGATTGCAAAATTTTCCAGTGCTTATTAATGATGTGTTTAACCTCACTGAAGTGAGTCGAATATGTTATCACACATGGAATGCCTTTATTGCTATCCCTAGCCCTTTTCTGCAAGAGGGTATTCCTAGAAAGCATTTTTGCCCTATCCCTGCATCCAGTAACCACATCCGTCCCATACCCTCTAGAAGAAAATGCTTTCACCAATTGTTCAGCCCTGATGTCATATGTAACTTCATCAGACACTATTCTACGTGCCCTGACAAACTGGCCGTATGGTAAATTCTTAATAAATGATACCGGGTGAAAGGAATCCGCATGTAGGTACGAAACCCGATCTGTGGGCTTCTGGTACAGATCAAATGATAAACGACCCCCTCTTACCTGTAGATTAACATCCAAAAAATGCATCTCATGAGGATCATATTCCAATGTAAAAGAGATGGTGTCCAAACAACCATCAAGTCTCTCTTTGAAAACCATAAGATCATCCACATTACCTGTCCAAAAAAAGAAAATATCATCTATATACCTGAGCCACAACCTCACATAGTGCGTAAAGTCCTGATCTCGGTATACAAAAGCATCCTCAAAAGCTGCCATAAATAGATTGGCATACGTCGGTGCTACATTTGACCCCATCGCTGTACCCTGTATCTGGAGGTAATATTTACCCTCGAAAACAAAGTAGTTCTTATATAGCACTAATGACAACATGTCAACAAGTAAGCCCCTGTATGCCTCACTCATATCCATACCCTGCATTGCACCAAATACCGCCTCAATACCTTCCTCATGTGGTATGGAGGTATATAGGCTGTTAACATCCATGGTGCACATCAAGGAACCATTGGGTATATCCCCCATCATTTCAAGCTTGCGGATAAAATCCGTAGTATCCTGCACAAAAGAGCACATCTCATTCACTAATGGTTGCAGATGTATATCCACAAATTTAGATAAGGGCTGCAAAATCGATCCACACCCAGAAACAATGGGGCGCCCAGGTGGATTCCACAAATCCTTGTGGATCTTAGGCAACAAGTAGATGAAAGGGGTCTTAGGGTTATCCACATTGAGAAAATTAAAATCTCTCTTCTCAATCAACCCATCCTCTAAAGCCTTCCTAGTAATTCCATCTATTATAGCACATAGCTCACCTGCTGGGTCACCATCAAGAATCCTGTAATGGTGCATATTTGACAATTGCCAATCCATTTCTGCTATATATTTTTGAGTATCCATAACCACCAGGGCACCTCCCTTGTCAGCTGGCCTAATCGATAGAGAGTTGTCCTCTTTCAGCTCACGAAGTATCAGCATCTCACTGCTATTTAAATTGGATTTATGCTTCCCTTTCCATTGGATCTTATCTATATCCATCTGGCAGGATCTGACGAAAGTCTCGATACTGGCATTAGTCAGAGGAGGGAGAAATCTACTCTTAGGTCTGCACTTCACTCGATCATATTTAGCAGACTCTGCTTTCACCCTCTGCTGATCTTGGTCCATCTGGTAATCCTGTAAATGAAAGAATCCCTTTAAACAAACCATCCGGAAAAAACGCTCCATCTCAATATCGGTATATAATTTATCACCAGAGTAAGTAGGTACAAACCCAAACCCTTTTTCTAAAACACTTACTTGTGATGGAGTCAACGTTTTACTCGAGATATTGATTACCAGCGTCTTGTCTGCTGTCTCGTTCTCCCTGGATATCTCTTCTTGGATTCGGTTATTACAGGCGCTGTTACTTTCCTGTTTACTCTTTCTCCTCCTCCTACCGCGTCTCGTTCTTGAGCTCTTCCTAAAAAACGAACGTGGGTGCTAGATTCTGAATCACCCGATGTTCCCTCAGGGTCAGATAGACTAGTGTCATTAGTATTCCTATTTCTCCTTTGGAAATTACGTGGCTCACGTTGTTGTCTCCAAAAATACACTTTATCCTCTAAATAGTCAACCGTATCCCTACGAAACTTATCCAATTTCCTCTCAAGCACTTCTTCCCTATGTTTGGGTAACCGGGAGGAAATCGCAACCAATTTATCTTCTATTACTGCTTTCTCACCAGTCTCAAACAACTTTTTCTTGGTATCACTAAGCAGACCTTCAATTTCAACCAAATCCTGTTGCAATCCTTCTACTGTCAATGCTATGAGATCCAAACTACACTTGTTTAGGATTTTGTACCAATTCACACAAAAATCCTTACAAGCTTTACAAAAATTTGGTCTAATATTAAGCCTTAGACCCCTTGGTATTCTCTTGACCCTAAGGTATTCAACAAGCGTTTCTGAATGCAGCTGATAATTCACCAATTTATTTTCCAAATATTCAACCCGCCGGTACAGTGTAGTCTGATCAGTAACGAAAACACTCTGCTTTACACTGTATCTAGCAATAATGGCATCAACCTCTGCCTGTGTATAAACTCGTGTTTCTGCCCTTCTGTCACTAATGTCACCAATGTCCTGAAATGACATTATCTCTCAACACGTACAAGGGAAATAACTATTCTCAAAACAACAGCACATGGAGAGACAAAATAGTATAAGAACAGCCAGGTGCAAACCATATAAACACTCCCTCAAGTGCTTTAAATATTCAAATGTATATAGAATATAGAATGCACACTATAACAATCTCAAAAAAAACTTTGCTTTATTATGTACAAAAAAGTACCAGAGTGAAAACATATAAAAAAAGATAAACAAAGTGACAGAAGCAAGGGCAAACACAATAAAACAATAGTAAATTACCACAAAAATTCTTACAAGCCTCCAGACAGAAACACGAGTCACCAAACCCCCCAAAATGGGATATAACACTATTAAAATATTTATATAAACAATACAAGTGCTAACCTGGCATGATGCAAATGATGCAAATGCAGATAATATAGTAATGGCATAGTGTCTAAGCTAATATAACAAGACAAACATGAAGTAATGAGTAATCTGGAACAAGGAACATGAACTAGATAACAGTGAAGTGAATGACAGAGGCAGCATGATAAGACCCGAATAACTGAGTAATCAATGGTAGGCACAGGTTTTATATTATTAACAATAAATGGAGTGTATGTTGAAGTGTGGTCTTGCGATCCATGTATTCTTGTGTCTTATGTGGTGTCATAACTGACCTGCTGTAGGCCCAAAATTGCAAGTGGTTATATACTGCCCTGTCATAGTGTCAAGATATTGAGCATATTCCTAATGCCCAATGACATTTCCAGGTAGGTGAGGGGCAACATCAAATGGCAGTATTAATAAATAAATACAAATGTGAAAAATATAGTGCTGCGCCTCAAAAATCTATACAGAGCAATTGCATAGAATGCAGGGCCGGACTGGCCCACCGGGATACCAGGAAATTTCCAGGTAGGCCGTCGGCACCTGGGGCCGGGCAGTCACCTGGGTCTGCTGGCGGCCGCTGGGGAGGTCTTCTGGCGGCCGCTGGGGGACTTGTCCTGGCGGCCGCTGGGGGAGCTGAGCTGGCTCTCCTCCCCAGCGCGCAGCTGAATGAGACCTGCGCCGGAATATGACGTCATATTCCGACGCCGGTCTCATTCAGCAGCGCGCGAGGGCGGTAGAGCAGAGCCAGCTCAGTTCCCCCAGCGGCCGCCAGAAGACCCCAGAAGACCTCCCCCTGGCAGGTATTAGTAATGTGTCTGTCTGTCTGTGTTATGGTGTCTGTCTGTCTGTATGGTGTCTGTCTGTGGGGTGCCTAGAAATTTTAAGATAAACTTTTAAGTCGATTTGTCTGTCTTAATACCCACTTTTATTGGAAACATTATATTTTCCTTTTTTTTAAATAATCCATTAGAATGTTTAATTAATATTTTTATTGAAAACATTACATTTTTAAAGTTTATGTGTCTGTCCTAATGAATATTTTTTTTTACATATTTCTTTATTGCACTCTTTGGAAATATTTTATATATACACACACTGTTTTAGGGAAAAACTTTCTTAATGTAAACATATTGTATGAAAATGCCATTTTTAACATTGATTTTTCTCTTACTTAGAGTAAATTTTATATATAATGTTCATATGTCATTATGTGCACACATAGTTGTGGAAATATATAACAGGACTTGCCCCTCTAGCCATATGATCTTTAAAGCGGCACTACCATGCCTTTCTTTAATCGATTCTTCTTCTCTCCCTCTCTCATGATCAGTTCTTAATTTCTTCCTGTCTGCTCTAGTTTTCTTTAAAACATAAGACAAAGTAGAGACTACTTTGTCTTATGGAGGTTTCCTACGCCTGACCAGCTTTGACCAGCGGAGGAGCAAAGTGTGCTCCGTTTCCTCTGGTCAAAGCAATTTTCCCACAATTCTCATCTTTGATCCGTGATCTCACGATGCTTCCTGTCAGTATTCCTGAACGTCCTGTCACTTAGATAGAACGCCGGCGAAAATACCGTCCTACTCATTCATCCTAACAGAATAAAAACAGTTTCTCCATTTGTGTTAGGTGCAATTCGGGACTTTGTTCGGATCGGAATTTCATTCGAATAAAGGAAACTCCGATCCTATTCGTGCCGCGGCTGCATCTTGCCTAGGCAGGTCCTACACTGACCTTTCACCTTGCTTCTGCCTAGGGGGGGTCCAGTGGCGGATCCGGGGGGGGGGGCAATGGGGCAATTGCCCCCCCCCCGAGATTCTCCCCTGCAAGCTAATGCAGGGCTGGCATTGTCTAAGTGCCAGCCCTGCAATGTGAGAGATCAGAGATCTCCCTCCCCTGTCCGCAGGCACTGTGCTGGCAGCCAGCAGGGGAGGGAGGACCCGGGAGCTCAGCCTGCAGCTCCTCCAGGTCCTGCTCTCGCGAGCACGGAGCTTTGGCGCGGTTACCACGGCAACGCTCCAAATCTTGCGAGAGTGAACTCTAGCCCTGGAGTGCGGGCTAGAGTTCATTCTAACCACTGGGATCACAAGGGATTCCCCACCGGACCACCAGTGATCCAGAAATGTCCCCCCTCCTCCTCAGTAAAGGTAAGAAGGGAGGGGGGACATAAAGGGCAGGGCAGTGCTTGTGTGTGCATTGTGTGTATGGGGGCAGTGTGTGGTAGTGGTTATTGTGCCTGGATTATTTATTTAAATAATCTACAAGTGCCCCTCCTGAGATCAGGCTCTGGATCCGCCACTGGGGGTGTCTGCCTTGACGTTGGCAGGCAGGCATTCCTTCCAATGGCCATTGGAGTAACTAAATGACCTCCATTTGTCTAAATATACATAGGTATTTAAGAAATATTGCACTACTGTTTGCACTTTTGTGTTGTTACAGATCTGCATTAAATTTATACCATATCGCCCCACCTTAAGTATGTATATGTTTTGTATAGTGTAGAGGTGGTTTAGGGGAAAACACCCAAGGTGTTTTTGAGCTTATTGTCTATTTCTCCTCACTGTGTATTTGTTTTACTTACAAGTATTATTTACAAGTATAAAAAGAGACTTGTAAAAGGGAGAATTCCATGGTCTAACTCTGTGCCTTTTCTTAAATATTGATGAACAAAAGTCAGTGAATAAAAATAATTTAAAAAAAATTAAAAAGATAAGCCTGGAAAAAGAATACTGCTACACTTGATTGGTGAAGGGCTTTTCTAGTTTTTCAGTGCTTATTTTATTATTTATTTTATCATCTATTTCCTTTTACACTACCTACCTTTCCTTATCTACTTTACTAATTAAAATAACCCTAGATAACTTACATACTTTCACAAGGATAATAAAACTGTATCTCTAATTAATTATATAGCAACATTTAGTTTTATTTTCAAATAATTATAAGTTCACAGTGGCAGCTTAGCACTTTGTCTCTGTTGTATGAACTGTTTGCCTTGATTTCTCTGAAGAAAAGCATGGTTCTGCCACCTTCTAATCCAAAATTCATTATCTCTCATGTCATGTCCTCGGTTGTAATTGTTTTAATAAAGCCTCATAATGTCATCTAAAATGCTGTAGCAAGATGATAAAATAGTTTTTAAGATAATTTTGACAAGAATTAAAGTCTAAAATGTAAAGCAATAAAAGCTGTTTTGCTGTGATTACAGTTATCCCATTGCACTTTCATTTTATTGTCATATTTTGAACTATCTTTATTACTGATTTTTACAAATATTTATTGGATTGTACAAGTTGGCCAAAAAAAATCTGATTCGGTTTTCACATTTTGTCTCTCTGCTGGGAGAATTGTCAGAAAAATAATTTGGATAAGGAACACTCGTGCTCCAGTAATCCCACATCCACAAATATACAGCCATCTTTAATGTCTTAAAGGATAACTTTAGCTTTAGGAACACTGTAGAATTAAGAATATCTGTATTTCTAATGCTACAGTCCTGGTGTGATTGTTTAGTTTATGCCGCCTCCTTGAGGAGGTTGACCTCCTTCTCCTTGTGTAATGTCATCCTAGAGATGTACCTATCTTTACAGTTGATACGGTTTATGTTTTGGTAGCTGATGTGGTATGAGCTCCCTAGCTCAAGGTATTTAAGATTTACACTTGTCAGTACACAGGAGTGTAGAAACAAATGGTCACCACATATGAAAGAATACAAATATATATAGTAAATTAAATATAGGTGATAATGGTTTTATATGTTTTGCCTATAATAATGCCAATTCCTTTGTGTCACGACAAGTAGATTGTCATGATGAACAAGTATATTGGGCTACCACTTTAGTCCATTGGACAAGTAGATTTTTTTTAATTTATATTTTTTTGTAAATATATTTTTCTTGAATATTTTCAACATTTGGTGATAGAAAAATGACAGCATGGACACGCAGGTCCCATTGTTCTCAGGTATCAACGATCATACTGGAAAGATGATGGTCACATAGGTATACTGTGGTGACTCGCAGGTCACGATATAGCACATTTAGCATTCACATGTTGGACTCTCAGGTCCTATACCTTATAGACATGGGCAGATAGTACTCTCTAGTACCCTATGAATACAGCATTTATGGCTCCCCTGTTATGGTTTTAGATTAGCTTATCTCTTGCAGCTCATTCAGGGAGGTTGACTTTAGGTCAATGGTTGTAGACCCCATTGCTCTGGGAGTCACCTAGAGATGGTGTGGGGTTGAAGTTATTTGGTATCAGGTAAGGTTGTTTTATTCCCCCCTCTGAACCCCATCTGCAGCTTACCCTAGCCTGGATTGCTAGACCCTGTAGTTATGGGGAATCCCTGCTCTGGATGTCCTTTTGCACGTTTCCCAGTACAAAAAGGTTTCTGGAACCCAAAAAGAGTACAGTAGTAGAAATCAAGGGGGGTTGAGGGTAAGGAAGGGTGGGGGAGATAAGGTGTTAGTCTGTGGTTTTCATGTCCATCAGGTGAAGTTGCTTAGTCTAATTGAGATGTGAAGTCTGTTGCTGCAGTGAATAGGATCCAGTGAGACCAAATCTCCATTTACGCTGTGTTGGCATTAGCTGCCCCCATGGGGAGCTCCTCAATTGCTCTGAGTTCC